CCCCAAAACCCCAAAACCCCAAAACCCCAAAACCCCTGTATCTAAAGAATACACTGAAATGATGGTTTACTTATATTTTTGAAAATTAGATTTTTAATTATGAAATTAAAATTTAATTTTTTAGACTATTTCGCTTGAGATATTAACCCTTGTGAGATCAGAAGTACTAGATATCCAAAGAGATTTAGTATTTATAACCTCTAAGTGTATTCAGAATATTTTGCAGCATTAAATTGGCCAAGTTGATAATTTGACATTTTATACTCTCTCCTGTTTCTTCTAAACTTTTTGGCCTTGTTTTCTATGTTAGTTTAGACTAAATAGGTTTACGGGTGTTAGAAAGAAGGCTCCTTCCTTTTCCTTTGATCATTGACACAATATTATTATTGACATTAGAAATAGGCGGCCCGCTTGGCTTACTCTTTAGGTACTAAATATTCAGACAAGAGCTTACATGATATTTTGAAGAATATTTTGCATCTTTTATACTAGAATATTTTCTAGAAGGCTTGATATGGTTATGCAGCGCATTATGAATAATTCTTTTCTCATGAAACCCTCCTCCTTTTAGCATTTTCTGTGGGATAGGGTTTCAATTAGAGGAAGATATTGAATTATCAGCAAAATCATTGGTCGCTCGAGGTTGAGATTCATAACTTTGATCTTCATTAATAACAAATCCTAAATTCAAATTAAAGCATAACTTACTTGCTCTTTTAGACTCTGGTCTTTTTGCAATACTGAGACGGTAATTCCTTATTCTCTCAAGATCACTAAAGTTGTTCTTTGTTCTCTCAATGAAAGTCTTTGTTCTCAACCTGCCAATCTTTTCTGGGATCAATGAGTTATTTTCTTCCAGACATCTGTTGGATTAACATTTTTGATCTAGTGCTCTTCCCAACTCTGCTTTTAGCTGTCGTTGATGTCATTTTATTTAGCACTCGTTTGTTTGGTAAGTTTGGGCGGGTTATTTTTCTTTGACATAGGGATTGTAGCATCCTTGGTTTTAGTTGTGAGTACCATTTTCTTAGGATTGTTATTGCTGCCATCACAGATAACAGTTTTCTTAGATTTTGTTTTTATAGCAGGCTGGGAGCTTATCAGAGTGTCTACTTTTGGTTCAATGCGTTTCTTTTCAACTTTGTGGAAATCTTTAGTTGTTTTAGCCATATGAGTAGGCCTTATCTTTGGTCTTATTTTTCTTTGTGTTGCATCAGAAGATTCTTCTTTAACCTTCTTATTTTCCAGTGGTAAAATCTTCCCATATATCACTAGCCTTCTTTAAGTATTTTAGGTAGATATCTCCTCCATCTTCCTCTTTAACAGGTTTCTTCTTTATAGCATACATTTTGTTAACACTACTTCTTCTCTTAGATTTAGCCGATCTACTTTCACTTCTTTTTGGGGGTTCTTTAATTTCTGTCTGTTGCTCTTTTTCTTTCTGCTCTTGTTCCTGTCTTTTATTTAGAAATGCCTGTTTCTTTTTCTCACTAAGAGGGTAGAGGAGTTTGTATTTTCCCATATTTTTCTGTTCATATTTCACTCTTTCCTGCTCTTTTTCCTTATTTATAAGTTTCTCTTTCTTCAAGAGTGAGCTTTGTTTGTTTTCCTGTACGCATTCTGGTGAGTAAACTATCTTGTTGGTACCTTTTGTGCCTTCTTTTACGATCTAGATAATGAGTCTCTGAGAATACCTTCTGTGAGATTTACCAATTGAAATGTATCACTAATGAGACCCTTCTTTATTTTCCTATCAAGTGGTGTGTCAGTAGCAAAGGAAGGGCTGCTGTTTACTTCAAGCAGCCAAGGTCTTCATTTATGATCTAGAAGGACATCAAATCCTAGAATTTCAAAAATCATTGAGTTGTCTAAATTGTCTGGTTGAAGAGTTTTGTAAGCGTGGGCTATTGAAGGTTGTCATGTTATTATTGTTTTCACTATGAGATCACTGATCCTATTCATGATCAGGTTTGGATCATTCCCTTCATCTTCGAGCTGCTTTAAGACAGCAGACAAAGACCTTTTATGGCCAACATCATCCATACCTTCTTCATTGAAAATAAAGTCATCACTATTCTTATTAATGGCATAATTTGTGAGATGCATAAACAAATCGTTCATGTTTCTCTTAGAAGGAGCTGAATAGGGCGATGTAGCAAACCTAACAATACCTTCTTTGTATAAATAGATTCTCAATGGGTCAACTCCATACACTAATACGTATATTCTAAGATCAAACTTTAAGTCGTCTATTAGATAAGGTTTGCTGATATAATCCTGTGCAATTCAATGCTCTTCAGGATTAAGTTTCTTGATAGATTTTGTAAGAAAAATCCCCTCTCCTTGACATAGAGCCTCAGGCTTAACAATAAAGGCTTTATGAGATTTCCCTTTATTATTGAAATTATTTTTAAAGTCAACCATCTCGTAAGGTAAAAGCCATGTTCTTGGAAAGAATCTATAATCGTTTGGAAATTGTTTCATCATTTTCATCAGATTTCGTCCAAGATGATTCTTCCTTGATAGAGCATACATTCCTGGGTAATGATTAGCTTTCTGGTGGGATTTCATTCTGAGCATCTTTTCTGGAGGCAATTGTCCATCTAGCCAAACCAAGTCCCAATCAGAATCATCTTTCCTGGTGATTTTGAAATTAAATATTCTCCCTACCTCCTTTATTACAGGATAATGAGTATAAGCGAGATTCAAATACAACCTTTCTCTTCATCTTTTATTTCTCTTAACAGGACTATTTTTCTTCAGATGAGTCATCATCAGAGTCTGATTGGCTATCATCACTGCTAGATTCTCCATCATTAGAGAGATAATCATCATCTTCATCATCACACGATGAAATGATAGAATCTAGTAAGGAATCATTTTTCTCAAAAATCTCAATGTCGTGGAACTGGTTGTCTATAATATTCTCCTCATTTTCATCAACTTTGGCTTTCTTATTTCCGAGACCCCTCATCTGAGGAGTTCCCTGAATCTGAGCACTCAGAGTCATATGAGCCTGGTCATTCGGATGAACTCTCTTCCGATGATTCTTCTTCAATATCATCTTCTGTATCTTTAATTTCTTTGGCTGTAAATTCTTTTATTTCTTTCATTTTCATGTTTGTAATTGATGTATCTTTTACTTTCAGCTGAGATAATTTACAACTCTCCATTTAATTCTAGATTATAATTTATTTCAGTTAAGTTATTTAAAAGCGGGGTTTTGGGGTTTTGGGGTTTTGGGGTTTTGGGG